AAGACAGTGGTATTTGGCTCTACGATTTATAGATATCTTCATTCAAGGAAATCAGTTGAAGAAACTCGAGCAATTTGCTCGTCAGAGTCCTCATAATAAAAACAAATGGTTTTTAATAGGCCTATGCCAACGCTTAGGACAGATTGCATGTACACAACGTGATTTAGGGATACAACAGGGGGCGGTTAGGTTTTTAGAGGATCTTTATCAAAACGAAATCCAATGGGGACGACATCCAGAAGTTAAAAATTACGCCAAAGCAATGATTGATAAAGTAGCGTCTGGTAAAAATGCACCCAATTCTTCCACATACGGCGAGTCCCAATTGTTATTTAAGGCTCGTCTTAAATTATCACAGAATTTAGCGTCAAATGTTACAGAACCGCTGGCAGAGTTAGGAAAAATTAGAAAAGGATATTTAGACGAACTTGAACAAGACGAAGAGATCAAAAATGCATTGAGTTTATATGTTCCACCAAGGGGTATGCAATCATCGAATGCCACGAACTCTTTTGACTTAAAGGCCGAGGTTGACGCTTTCTTAACTTCAGAAAAAAAGGTTCTGCTGCTACTAGGTGAAGCTGGGGCGGGAAAGTCTACTTTTAACCGTTACCTCGCTCAATGTCTTTGGAAGGATTATTCGTCAGAAGACGAGTTAGATAATATATTTATCCCTTTATTTATTTCACTTTCAACTATAGATAATCCTAATGAGAAAATAATTCAAAAATATTTAAAAGAGTTAAGATTTTCTGAGGAAATTATCGAAGACTTGAGGCAAAACTGTAGATTCATATTTATCTTGGATGGATATGATGAGATTAAGGACCGCCAATCAAATTTTTATGATAAACACAAACTCCATGACTGGAATGCCAAAGTTATTATTAGTTGTCGGCCGGAGTATTTAAGTGCAAATTATAAATCCAAATTTATACCTCGTGGAAATTCTAATTCCTTCCAGGAAATATGGGTAGCGCCTTTTTCTAAAGAGGAAATTCGAGAATATATCGGAATGTACGTCGAAAAACAAAAGGACAGGATATGGGACGCGCAAAAATATGAAGCCGTTTTAAATCGTGTTCCTGATTCAGATCAGTTATTGAGTAATCCCTTTATCTTAAAAATTGCTATTCAAGTCTTACCGGACTTAGGGAATGAGAACTCGGCAGAAAATATAACACGTTTGATGTTATATAATATGTTTGTGGAGAAATGGTTTGAGCGATCTAAAGTCCGTATAGAACACATATATATCCAACTAAAGGAAAATGAAAAGGAGGCCTTTGAAATATTGGATGAGGGTAATTTTGCGAGACATTGCATGCGATTTAACAAAGACTTGGCGGTTGAAATGTTTAAGACTAAGGAAGTAGTAGTAACGTATTCAGACGCAGATAACACAAAAACTCATACCGATTGGCGTGCTAAATTCTTTGGATATGAAGACCCGAAGATACGACTTTTACGTTACAACTCTCCTTTAAGTCGCAATGGTGATCAATACCGATTTATCCACAAATCTTTATCCGAATATTTTGTTGCTCGATCAATATATGAGGCAATTTGCAAAGAAGATAAATCCACACTATTTGAAGAAGTTTCAATACTAGGTGATCACGGAGTTGTTCGCTTTCTATCAGAATATGCACAAAATGATGGAGGTTCAAAAGATCACAGCGAACTAGTAAATTCAAAGAGAAATAGTAAATTCAAAGAGAATCTTTTTGACTTTATTGAGAAATCAAAAGAAGACGTTGATTTCGAAATCGCCGCAGCAAATGCAATCACTATTTTGAATAAAGCTGGGATGAACTTTAGTGGCAAGAATCTAAGTGGAATTCATATCACCGGTGCGGATTTAAGTTACGGTTTATTTCATTGTACTCAATTTAAGCAAGCAGATTTAATCAACGTTAATTTCAAGGGGTCATGGTTACAATATGCAGATTTTCGTGGTGCTAACATGACAGGCGTGCAATTCGGTGAATTTCCTTTTTTGGATCTTGTGGACGAGTGTCATGGCTGCTGCTATTCCCCAGACGGGCATTCTCTTGCCGTTGCTAGTGGAAAGAAAATTTACCTTTACAATGTCGAAACTTTAGAAGAGATACATACTTTCGAAGGACATACTGGTAAAGTTAATAGTGTGACCTTCTCACCTGATGGCACGCAACTGGCATCGTGCAGCTCAGACAAGACGGTGCGACTGTGGTCGATCGAGAATTTAGATCTGAATCCACTCATTCTAGAAGGACATACTGATATTGTTAGTGTGACCTTCTCACCTGATGGCACTAAACTGGCATCGTGCAGCGACAAGACGGTGCAGTTGTGGTCGATCGAGAATTTAGATATGAATCCACACCGTCTAAGACATACCGATCGAGTTTCGAGTGTGACCTTCTCACCTGATGGCACGCAACTGGCATCGTGCAGTTATTTTGAAGTGCGACTGTGGTCGATCGAGAATTTAGATCTGAATCCACGCATTCTAGAAGGACATACTGATGATATTAGAAGTGTAACCTTCTCACCTGATGGCACGCAACTGGCATCGTGCAGTTACGGTGAAGTGCGGCTGTGGTCGATTGAGAATTTAGATCTGAATCCACGCATTCTAGAAGGACATACTGATGATATTAGAAATGTAACCTTCTCACCTGATGGCACGCAACTGGCATCGTGCAGTTACGGTGAAGTGCGGCTGTGGTCGATCGAGAATTTAGATCTGAATCCACACATTCTAGAAGGACATACTGATGATATTAGAAGTGTGACCTTCTCACCTGATGGCACCCAACTGGCATCGGGCAGTTACGGTGAAGTGCGGCTGTGGTCGATCGAGAATTTAGATCTGAATTCACGCATTCTAGAAGGACATACTGATGATATTAGAAGTGTGGCCTTCTCACCCGATGGCACTCAACTGGCATCGTGCAGCGCAGATAATACGGTGCGGTTGTGGTCGATTGAGAATTTAGATCTGAATCCACTCATTCTAGAAGGACATACTGATAATGTTAATAGTGTGACCTTCTCACCTGATGGCACCAAGCTGGCATCGTGCAGCGATGACAAGACGGTGCGGTTGTGGTCGATCGAGAATTTAGATCTGAATCCACGCATTCTAGAAGGACATACTGATCGAGTTTGGAGTGTAACCTTCTCACCTGATGGCACCCAACTAGCGTCGTGCAGCTATGACAAGACGGTGCGGCTGTGGTCGATTGAAAATTTAGATCCGAATCCATGCATGCTAGAAGGACATACTGATCTAGTTTGGAGTGTGGCCTTCTCACCTGATGGTACGCAACTGGCATCGTGCAGCAAAGACATGACAGTGCGGCTGTGGTCGATCGAGAATTCAGATCTGAATCCACGCATTCTAGAAGGACATACTAGTATCGTTAGGATGGTGACCTTCTCACCTGATGGCACCCAACTGGCATCGTGCAGCAATGACAAGACGGTGCGGCTGTGGTCGATCGAGAATTTAGATCTGAATCCACGCATTCTAGGACATACTGATCTCGTTTTTAGTGTGACCTTCTCCCCTGATGGCACGCAACTGGCATCGTGCAGTTCAGACAAGACGGTGCGGCTATGGTCTACGATATCTGGTAACTGCGTAGCCATTATATACTTTCCTGGCTCTGTTTATAGTCTTGATTGGAAGAATACAAAAGCGGGTGACCTTTTATTAACGGGTGGTTTTGATAAAGTCATTCGTTTGTGGTATATAAAAAGAATAGACGATCAACAAACACATGTCACTTTACATTTGACTTCACGTCAAAATATGTTATGGATCTCTAAAGCATATATTCAAAACGTGATAGGATTGGATTCAATGAATATACGTCTTTTAAAGCAAAGAGGCGCCACTGAAGACTCGGAAGTTTGACAGTCTTATTATGATACTTTAACTAGCGCTTTATTTGTATTGTTAAATTTATTATAAATAAAACATGTATTTACAATAATATTTTTAAACCGTCACTTAATGCTGTCGTAACTACGTCACGAACTCGAACAAGTAATCACATAATTTCTACGATCGCCTCTGTTATAAGGTACACGTGACTCCGTCCACTGTAGACGGGTTATTATTAGATTTACATCTTAGGGTTTCGCAAAAAAATTACGTAGATCATTTCCTTCCCTCCCCTTTTGCTGCTTTATTTGCTTTTTTATACCGCCCTTTTATAAATGCAGCAGGCCGTTTACATTATTACCACAATACCATTTAATTTATGTTTATTATGCTCACTCCCTATATTACAGTAATAACCAGAAAGCAAACGAGCAAATTTTTTATAGGCGAAAAATCGAGCATTTTTTTTTGTTTTGGGAGTTTTAAAGCTTTAGCGGCGGGAAGGGAGAGAAGGATATTTTATAGAGCCAACCAAATAGTAAAATCAATAAACAAAGAAAACCCAATATTATCTTAAATTATGATGGCCCTATCATAAAATAACATAATATTGGCAATAGGGGGATTTCTAAAACTATTAGAAGTATTCATTTGCGCCATAGTGCGTGTTTGTACAGCGGCTATATTAGCTTGTCCATGATTTGCAAGAATGTTATTGAGTTCCTATCTTTTACCAAGAATTTTTCGATCAAACCGATCTAATGCTGATCCAGATAAACACCCCCGAAGAATACCAAACGCTCTATCTCTCGCCCGCCTACTGGATTCACATCTATACCAGCTAAATATGCCGATAATCGACTAATAAAAATATCAATATCTTCATCATGACTACCTGAAAATATTGGTGCCGGGATTGTTGCCGTGTTTGTTTGTATATTCATAGGTAAGTTATTCTGAAGCACAAAAATTTGCTGATTCAAATTCAAAATTAATTGTCGAGCATCATGAGTTTTATTTTTCCATTTCTCATATCTTGCTATAAGTTGATCACGCCAATACTCTAGCATAGCTCCATGATTATGGCAATCTTGCAAAGCTTGTTCAGCTTGGTGGACTCTATTTCTATAACAAGTATATCGTTGATAAATCCATTGAAGGTTATTCAAGGATCTACATCTTGCCCCTATATATGTTGATCTAATATTTATAATCTCCCGATTTTCATCTTCCAGTTTTACAAAAGCAATACTCTCATCCTCAAAATTCTGTCAGTACGATATGAATCTAACTGATCTTGAAGAGATTGATTTTTTTTCTGCCAATTCATTGGAAAAATTCCGCTTATTTTGGATTATATCTACTTGCTCATTTATAGTTTGTTGTTGAACAAATCGACGGGTTTCATTTTCTTCAATAATACCTTCTCTAAGACGACCAATTTCATAAATATACTTATTCTCAATTTGAATAAGTTTTAACTCTGTTTGGGTTTGAAGATTATTAATTTCATCAGAAAGTAATGAGCCATCATTTCCTCTATAACAATCAGCTAAGTATTTGAAATTATCTCTGATCTTAATTAATAATGTAATAACAGTTTCAGAGCTATCTGCTATGTTACTTGACATTCTAATAGTTTGATGTAATTGTTGGATTCTATGATGGAGTAAAGATATTTCATTACTCATTTCTAGCAATTGTGCCTCAAGAAAAATATTATTTTTATCCTTACCCTCAACATCTTGTAATACCTTTTTAAGACGTTTCTTAAGGTTCGTATTTTCTGATTTAAGAATTTCAATTTCATGGACCTGATCTGTAATTTTCTTTTCGAGATATAAAATATAATCCTCAGTTTGAGACAATTTATTTTTCAATTTTTGAATTTGTGATTCAAGAGAAGTCATTAAATTTATTTCAGTTTATAGTATAATAAGTAATATTAAAAATGAGTAAATTGAGCAAGCCTATTATTAGAATCGATCCAAATGAGGAATTGCAAATTGTCCTAAGTATGCTTTATTATCAATCTACTATTTATCATTCCAATTCTCGAAAGTTATATAATGCTATCAGAGATAAAGGATATAATTTCTCATATAAAAAGGTCGTGAATGGTTGCACAACCAGAATGAATGGCAAAAATATGCTCCATCACCAAAAAATACTCCACGGGTGAGTTATGGAAAAATTTCACGTCCAAACTGCGTACATATGTGTGATTTGTTGCGCCTTACAAATGATACCATTAATAAAAAGACATATAAATGGGCACTTACTGTCATAGATGTTGGATCTCGTTTTAAATGGGCTTTTCCATTGACATCGAAGAACAGTTCAGAAGTCGCCATAGCATTTAAGAAAATCTATGATAATTTGAACATTCCTCTTACCTGGCCTGATTTATTACAATGCGATGGTGATAGAGAATTTATGGGTGAAACTTCAAAAATAATGGAAGCGCATAAGGTTACAATCCGAGTTACAGGCCCCTATTCTCATCGAGGTCTTGCAATCGTAGACAGGTTTTGTAAGACATTAGCAGAGATGCTATACAAAGTTCAATCCGCCGTTGAAACTATATCCAGAAATCCCAAATTAATAAGGGCATTGGTTAAGCATTTACCAAAGTTCTTGAATATCTGAATAATCATCCAATACGACTTATACAAGCACCAGGATCAAAGAAATGGGGATTAGCACCTGCGAAGGCAATTATATTGGATAGGGTAGAGTCTAGACCGTCTACAAAATATAAACGTTCAGTTGGTAAAAACAAAGAAAAATTAAAAAAGGAAGACACCATTCGTTACTTGCTAATGCGGAATGGGAAGGAGGTATGGAAAATCAAAGACGTGCAAAGGATGAAATTTGGAGCCCTTCTTTACATAAAATCAGAAAAATTGTAGTAACGAAAAACGAACCAGCTTTATATTATTAGATAGAGAATTTGCACCAACACGTGGGTTTGTACGTGAAGAATTAATGCCAATTTATTTAGAAAAGCTTCAATATCCGCCTCAAAGTATATTAGAAGAAAACACTCGTTCCAGATCAATTAATTTTATTCGTCTATTTAATAAAATGGCCAAGGTTCAACAATCTGCCGAAAAGCGTGGTGGAAAACGGAAAGCATCAGTGGGAATATCCATATCCATTGATAGCTAAGAAATTTGAATAGTGCCCCTTATGCCATCATACTACTGAGAGAAGCGTAAGATATATTTTTGAGGATCTACTGGATAAAAAATTTCCACCATGCGCACCAAAATTCTTGGGTAGCTTGAGAGACTCGATGAGTATAATGAAAAACTAAAATTGGCTTGGGAGGATAATGGTGTCCAGCATTTTTATCGCAATAGTTGTATCATAAAAATCAAGGTGATCTAGAGGATCAAATTTCACGCGATCGAAAAAATTTAATATATGCAAAGAGAGGGTATAGATCTCATTATAATTTCCTATAGTTGCGATTTATTACCATATATAAAAAAATGAATTGTAGAAGAAAGGTTATTTACCGCATAAAGAATAAATATTGCTTATATTTTGGTTAAAATGAAAGAAGAAAAATGCCCATATTTGTTATGCATTGACGAAACATCTAAAAAATCCTCAGAACAAATGAAAGGTAATAAGTATTCACCAGAGGGCCCATTTAGATTATTGGTGTGGAGGGTCCAATAGCGGAAAAACAAATATGGTTATTAATCTTATGATAGGTAATAAATTACAACTGGTACAAAATAGCTTTCAGATTTTTGCGAATAGCCTTAAACCATATCAAGAAGATGTTACATTTAAAAGAATATCTCCAGATAAAATTCCAGATATAACTAAATTCTCTCCAGAGCGAAGTACAGTTGTTGTATTTGAGGATCTATGCGCCGAATCAAAAAAGTACAAGAACGAATTATTCCTTACTTTATTAGTGGCCGGCATCAAAATATCTCACCAATATATATAAGCCAGAAATATACACAAACACCTAAAATTATCCGCGAAAATTTAAGCCATCTTGCATCATTTAACAATGGGGATCCCGAGACGATCTCATTCGAATTTTGCATCAGTTTGTAGATAATCCTAAAAAAGCCTCCAAAATTATTGACGAGCATCTACGAAATCGAAATTTTATAGTTTTTGTTTTCACTAAATCAACTAATGATCCTTTAAGTGTACGGCTTGATTGGATACCCCATTAAAATTAGATGAATAAAGAGTGATATCGGATATAAAAAGCACTTCAAGTTTTCTAATACTTTGAAATCAGATACAATAAGGTATAACATCAGTTAATTATTTTTTCCATTATTTATTAGCCTAAGGATTGCTCACAGTAATATAATAATATAGTATACATCTTATCTGTCACTCTTTTAAGAGCTGATCGAATCCTGCCGATTTGTAGTTAGAGTAGATATAGAGCCCATGCCACATAGTGGCGCCCATAGGGCCTGCTTTGCAATAAAAATAATGAACTCAATCTATTATCTACACTAGGGATTTTTGTGGCCTATAAAACTGGTTGACATAGAAAATTAATAGAACTGACATGGTCAAGAAAAAAAAGCTATTAATCATCATAAAATAGTGTGGATAAAAGTCTAAAGTACTAGCCATTATGGAATACCTCAGATGATTTTATTTTAAATAGATATATATATGAATAAGTTATAAAATTAATAAATAGGCTAAATCGAATGAATAAGTAATGATGAATGAGTTTTATATCACGCATGCCTTCTGGTTTGTAAAAATACTCTAATCACTTCTGTTGTATAATCTTTGCAGCTTAAATTTTCTTTCCAATTTCTCTTACACAACGATTTTTCTGATAGCATTGGACATCCATAAACTATATCTGTATAATGTATACTAATTATTGAAATTATATGTAAAATTAGATTTTTGCTTAATTTTCAATAAGTACTCATTATAATTTATCCCACAATATGTATTTCCGGTACAATGAGAAGCCCAATGCCTTTCCATTCATATGTGATTATATTTTCTATAGATGTTCTGTATATACCAATTGATCGCAAGAGAAGCAGATAGCAATTCCAATTACACGAGTGTATGGACTAGTATTAGGAAGTAGTATTAATTTTCTAGCTTCAAGATATTTTTTACTTTGAGTTGATAAAAGAACATTCTCTCTAAAATACTGTAAATGAGGTCAAATTCGATTCATCCATTCACTTGGTGTTTCATTATCATAGATTTGTGGCAATTTACAATATTCATCTCATTCAACATCAATACAATTAGTTCCACGTAATTCACTTGAGCTAGTCATTTTATATGACCTAATTATGTGTGTTTTAAATATTGAGATTTACTGTATACTGTATTTAATTTAAGGATTTTCTGAAAGCAGACACTTCATGCTAAACCTATTAAATTTTATCAATTATATACATTAGAAACAACCGATTCGATTTTTGTACATACAGTATTAAAGTCTCGGTAAAGATTTCATTCATGCCAGTTGTTATAGTTTAGTAATAGGCGGGTGCATGGTATAGAAAATATAAGAAATCAAGATTAAAATTGTATTTTATACGATCCGAGCAGATCACCCAATTCATTATTCTTGCGGACTGAAAAAACCACCTAAGCAAAGTACTGAGCCACTAGAAATGATGATTATACTCTTTTGAATACATAATATATAAAGTCAGAGGCCCTATCGTCAAGAGGTGAAAACTCGAGCGAAATTTTTTGCATAACTATGCATACCCATAAACAAGTAACTTGGGTGGTCTATCAATGCAATATAATCTTGTGCAAGAAAATAGAAACGTATTATCCAATTCACCCAACATGTCATAAAATTTTTGTAAATAATAACTTAGCAACAGGTTATGTACTTATGTAGAGGCTAGCCTCATTGTTTCACAATAAATTTCAAGGTGGATACATTCAAACTATTTCTTATCTCATGGCTCAGTGGACTAAACCGTGAGAAGCTCGTTCGGTCTTCCTCTCCTTAATACATAGACAATGATAGCGACGATCACACCCTTTAAAATTGGTTTTTTATAAGCATAGAAAAAAAAATAAATTGCAGGGAGGTAATAGTCAAACCCTAGGCCTGTCTCGAAAGGCTATAACTTACACCTGAGAAGATTATTACAGTATATAAAGAATAGATCATATATTTTTTGCAGACCAATCACCTTCACCTACAGTGTGGCACAAAATTTTTTGCAATTTGATTACTGCTCTTCAACTTTGCCATGTTAAAAC